GCCATAGAAGAAACACTCTGCCTTCAGAACCGCCTTGCTTCTTTGTGGCATAGAAGAAACACTTCGCCTTCAGAACCACCTTGTTTCTGCGTGGCATAGAAGAAACCCTCCATTTTCAGAACTGCCTCATTTCTTTGTGGCATAGAAGACATCCTCCACCATCTGAACCGCCTTGTTTCTTCATGGCATAGAAGACACCTTCGCCTTCAGAACTGCCTTGTTTCTTCGTGGCACAGAAGAAACCCTCCACCATCGGAACCACCTTGTTTCTTTGTGGCACAGAAGACACTCTTCGCCTTCAGAACCGCCTTGTTTCTTTGTGGCATAGACTCAACTTGGTGCTGGAAACATTCATCAGAGACGCTGGCCCATTTTGGTGGGTTAGCATCTTGTTGTTGCAGCAGAGTTTTCAGATGCACATCCATGACATGTCGCCTGTTGCACCACACCCCAAAGGTGCTCTATGGGAATGAGCTCTGATGACTATCGCTGAAGTCCAGTACATACAGACTGAACGGCAGTTTCTACCAAGCAGACAGGATTCGTATAGCAGACGGGCGTGGCCACAGCTGTTGTAAGGGTAGACTTGTGTGATCAGAGATGGTATTCTGCAGACACTGGTTGGAACAAGTGCTTCATTGAGCTACTGTTGAATTTCAGTTGTCTCCACCCAGTCTGCCCATTCTCTTCTGACCTCCACACAAATGTTTCTCACTACATTGTTTTAACCATTCACCTTAAACTCTAGAGATGTTGTATGTAAAATTCCCAGTAAATCAGCAGTTTCTGAAATACTCATACTGGACCATCTGGGCTGACAAACACCCCACATTCAAAGTTGTGTACCCCCCTCCCCCGTTTGCCCCCATTCTGATGCCCGGTTTGAACTTCAGCAAGTCGTCTTCACCACATCTCCATGCCTAAAGGCAGCGAGTTGCTGCCACGTGACTGGCTCCAACAATCAAACACGTGTAACTAATGAAGTGGCCAGTGGTTTTTTTTTCCTGTAACATTTGCTTTTTGTAATGTTGACAGTTCATAAAAGTGTTAAAAACTTTTGTGGCCTTAAATTATTTGGTGCAATAGTTAAGGAGTATCTGCTCTGCTCTATTTAAGGCCTTGTCTGCTCATTGAAGTAATACAAAGGTTTGTCCGTGATTATTAAACGAGTATCGGCAGCACAAACACAAGTTTGTCATCTGCCACTTTTATCTTTTAAGTATCATCTTTAGGGTCATAGGTTAGGTTAGAGAAGGCTCTATGACATCATAGTTTTCAAAAGATTGCATTTATTCTGTCCACATGTCAATGAAAGGGTGGCGTTTCAAGAGTTTTTCACTCTGGGTTTCCAACTAAAACATTGTTTCTGTGTGGATGCTAAGGCTAAAACAGTCTTTTTTCAGTGTGCACATAAATCGTTCTTGGGTGGACGGGGCCTCAGAGCAAGGCAATGAACAAAGAGAAGAATATTCAAGAACACTTGCTGTGAAGCAGCGGAGGAAGAAACACTGATTTCATGATTCCTTAGAGTTCAGTCCCAGGTCAGCTGATGCTGGAAACTGTTCTCTCTTTTCCTCCGAGTCAGCACAGTCGCAGTAAGCTAACCATGACGCTGCATTTTTTTCTTTCAAGGTTTAGTGATGTTATCAAAGTGTAGCAGCGCTCGAGAAAATACTGAGACCTTGAGGTTTAAAGTTTGACATTTTGAAAAATACACTGATTTCATGCTGCTGATTAGCAACATTTCACTTTATAACCGTTTTTAAATAAAAAGCTGGTGATTAGCCTTTTTACCATAAAGCTGACACTACATGAAAAAGTTGTAGCACTTCCTGTTTTAGGCTTCGCCTCCAGAAGTCACAACTACTGACTGAACCGGTGTAAAAACCAGACAGATGAACCTTTTCATGTAGGGCCGTCATGAGAAATGGTACAAACAGGTAACAATATGCAGTTGATGCTCATTTAATGTACAATTTGTAGTTTCTGATGCAGAAAAGCTCGTACATAAACACGTGTGCATCCCCTGCTTTCCTACAGGAGAGCGGAGGATGCACGTTCCTAAATTAAAAAAACTCTTCAGGATGTGCTTAGATCAATTTTTAGGTCACAGTTGAAAAAGTCGGCCTCTGTTTTCAGTCTTAATGCTAAACTAAACCAATCAGCTGCTGGTCGTGGCATCAGATGTCTGTTTGTGATTGGAAAGAGATCTCATTTTCCAAAATGTCAAACTAATACGATAAAAAAAATAAAAACTGGAAAGTACTCTTTTATGAACCTGTGTACTTGGCGGCACATGTGTAATTCAACAATCTAATCCATGTGAGGTCTCACCGGGCTGCGACTCGGAGCCAAACGGCACTTGAGGCTCCAAAACACTCGAAACGTCCGTTAGAGCGGTCGCAGAGGCACAAAGTCCCGTTGCTTCTAGAATAAACGTGTAATCTGCTCAACAGTTTATTTCCTCTAGTTGCCACTGTCGTGTAAAACCAATCTCAGTTTGGTCGCAAGCGTCTCAGTCCACCTCGCGAGCCTCAGAGCTGCGTTCTGACACGGTTCTGACTGAAAACGTGAAAACCACTGCTTATTAAAACTGATCCACAGCTGATCATCTTCCTGTCTAAAGTCCAGCAGACTGAAGTATAAACACGGGCTGGCTGCCAAGATGCGTACGAAACAACTCGAGGTGGGTAACAAAAGAACGTGCACGGCCTAGAATAAGCCGTGCACACGTGAACGAGCCGGGATCTACGAAGCCTGGCCACAGGACTCACTGATCTACGAGAGAGTACGTTTGCTGCCCCAGCTAGTGGAGTCGCGACCCGGTGGGAAACTCTTAGACGCTCCTTTCACCAGAGAATCCTCAAACTACGCGTGGTGCTCAAAGAAAGCATGGGACACAAAAGGCAGTTGTTTTCAAAAGGAAAGAAGTAATATGCACTTAAAACAAAATTCAGAAACAGTTTTTGGCATGACCAGGTCAGTGGCGATGCCTGCAACTAGAATACACGAAGTTTCCCCAGAAACCTCCAAAAGGTGCAGGCTGTCGCTGTAACAGATAGATGAGTCATAAAGCTTACAAGAGGCGTGAAAGTGCAGCACTGACGATGTTCAGCTGGAGCTCCAGAACGGTAAATGAACAGACGGTGAATCCACTGACAGGACAGAAACCTACGTCAACTAGCAGACGACACAAACTACGCCTGGACTGGAGGTTCTTTCAGCTGCTTCCACATTCAAGAACCAAATTCTGTTTAGAAGAGAGTATTGGACTGTACAGTGAAACTAATGAATAAAGGCATTATTGGCTTGTAATGTTCCTAACTGTAGTCCAGAATCCATCACCGCCCACAGCATTAAAGGCTTACGGGTTAATAACTTATGAAGTGTTAGCGGTCAACAATAAATCAAAGACAAGTCTCTGGTGGGTTTGTGACACGCCTCGTCAGCACAGCTCTTCATGTCTTCTGTTACTCCGGTTATGAAAAGATAAACGATGAGGAGGAGGAGGAGTTGACGGGTTTTCCCTCCGAGTTAGCCGTGGACGATCACAGCCGTGCAGAATTCACCTCCGGGAAAAAAGTGTGCAGATAGTGAGAAAAGAAGACGATGACCGCGGTGTGGTCTCCCTCATGTGTTAGCTTGTTTCTGTTGTGTACCCCCCCCCCCCCCCCCCAGTGATCAGTCATCACAGGCGTCAAGGTGTGGCTGGCGAAGGACCGTCAGGTGTCAGGCTCCTGAAACAGACACAGTCAGGATAGAAACAGAAAGGTACCGGACAGCGTCACTCTGCTCCACAGACCGTTGTTAAAGGTCCGCTCGGTTCATTTAAACGTTTACGATGTGAATCAAATTCAAGTGACGAGACGTCAGAGTCGCTGCAGTGGGTTTCATTTCATTTCAGGGGAAAGTTTCTGCTTTTACCTGAAGCTGATGAGGCGCTGCGACAAAGGTGACTCTCATCTGAAGCTCTTCTGCTGCTGCATGAGGCCCACGTTCTCGTAGACTCTGGAGTTGTCCTCCCTCATCCTGACCACACATTCAGTGAACAACTAGTCTCCCAACATGTGACAGAGCATGCATTTTCTCTCAGCGCTACTCACTCTGTGCACGTGGGGGTGGGAATGGGTGTGCAAGGAGGCAGAGGGCTCTGCTCTCCTCCGGTCAGGTCGGACAGAGAATACTTGATGTTTGTGTACTCGCGCCCTTTGATCTTACTTTTCTGGAGGAGGAGACGGAGGCGGTTACAGACGGAGGGGACACACAGAGACGAGAAGCGAGGCGTCTCCTTACTTGCTCCTCCTCGATGCGCCTCTGCAGCGTTTCTATGTAGTGCTGCACGGCCATGTAGATGAACCTGTACTGCGCTTCAGTCTGCACCATGCCCGAGCGCTGAGCACGAACCATCTGGATGGTCTTGGGCACGTCGATGTCACAGTCCACGCCTGCGTCAGGAAAAGATTTCAGGACGTCTGAGTGATGCGCACCTCACACAACTTTATCTCTTCTTAATAAACATGTTCAAAATGTGTTTTCATCAAGTAAAATCTGAAAACCACCGAGAAACGAGCTCTACTGAAGAACAAATCAAGTTTTTGACACGGACAAACCCTTTCCACATGATGAAGCTGTGGTTTAGGACAGAAGAGGACGGGTTGTTCTTACTGACGTCAACCAGAACCTGCTACACGCCGTCAAAAACTGCTCAACAACGGTGTGAAGCAGGAAGTGTTTGTAGAACCGCCCTCAGGTCAAGAACAGCTTACGGTCGTAGTCAAGTATTGCCAAAGCACCAAAACCTGCACGAGGCTGTGCACGTTTCCCTGATTATTTCTTTATTGAAACGTCCTAACTTTGAGGTGGAAAAGGGCGTGTACCACTTTGTGAGGACAAACCCTTTGTACATGAAGCCCCAGGTCCAGATGGCTTCCCATCTGAATTCTAGAAAACTTTTCGAGGCAGCTGGTCCGTTTCCTATCAGAGGTTTTAGTCTTTTAATGGAGGCGTGTTCCCCAAGCTCTGGTCAGGTGCTTCATCGTGATGCTTTGGACAAACAGTAAAAACTCGTTAGTGGTTCGAATCGTCATCAGTTTCTCTGTTGACTTTAAAGTGCAGGCAGTTACAACTAGACTCCTAGAAGCAGTTTTCCCTTAATGTTAACTCTCGATCAAACTGGTTTTATCCACAACAAACAACTCATTTTCCATCTCTGACAAACATGTAACGTGTAGCCCCCCGTAACTCCTTCAGTCGAGGCTTTCACCGCACTGGACGCTGAAAAATCCCTTGACGAAGTGGAATGGGATTATTTGTTTTATGGGATTATTTGTTTTATATTTGGGGAAAAGCATCTCATTAACAGCATCTCCTGAGCCCGCTGTCAGAACCAGTGACTCAGTCTCTGAATATCTTCACTTAAACCAGTCTGCAAAGCAACGATGCCCATTTAATCTACATGTACTGGAGCGTCGGCTCACTGCTTTCTTTACCTGCTGATTATATCATAACTACAAACAGCATGGAGGTGAAGGTAGCTCTGTATGCAGACGACCTTCTGTTCTTCCTATCTGGCATGTCCCCGCCGCCCTTTTAGTCCAAGAAGCAGCAGTGAAATTCCTGGATATACACCTAATCTTTACAAAAGTCAGATCATTGCTGAGAGGCAAGAGTATCCAGCCAATAATGAACATTCTGGATGTCCAGTTCAGGTTTCGTCTTTACTGGTGCCGACACAATGTTAGATTTTCTCTTTGCTTAAAAAAATAACACAAATGAGTGATGGTGTTTCCTAAATCTTTCTGTGGCTGCTAGAATTAATGCACTCTATTTCAATGCATCTTCCAATCTCCCTTTAGCCACGAGGCCAATAGTCCTAATCTGGATTTTATCTGAAAACATCCCAGGCTGCACCATCGAGTCTTCTGCAGTGACATGGGGACTCTAGTTTTACTTCTTTTCAGCACCTAGTAAATAAATGTTGTCTTTCTAAAACAGTTGCAGTTACCTTCAAACCCAGCCCCGTTTAAATAACCTCTCCTTTTAAGAAGAGATGATTTTTATACATGTATTTTAACCTTTTCTCACAGACTGTTGGATTTGGACACCGCTGACCCCAGTGACCCGAGTCAAAATACAGATTCAGTTCTACGAAGGATTCTCTCTCAGCAGATGAACACAAACGTGCCAAACACCTTTTTTTAGATTTTTATTTGTAACAAATGTTACAAACCAGAGATCTTTCAACCACCTTTGGGATTCTTTTTGTGTTTTTGTATTTAGTAAAATACTTTGTTGGTTGGTCTGTAGATCAACATGTGGAAAAGTTCACGGGGTGAAAAGACTCCGGACCATGTTACTTAAGGAACCAGGAGCCCATCATGCATTGCACAGCAGACAACGGCCATCGAGTCGTAAGGTAGTCAAAAGATTGAATCATCTCCACAAGCAGCTCATAAACATTTTTTGAAAAGCCATCACCTCATTTGCATCTTCTCGTTGCAGCTTTATGCTCACAAACTCACCTTTTTCTCTAATTACGTCGATCAGGATGTCGATCACTATAAATGTTCCCGTCCTCCCGATCCCTGCACTGAGGAGAGCAGCAGAAAGTCAGGGCACGTTTCCTCTGCAGTACCTGCTGGGGTCTCTCTGAGTTGGAGGTGCGTACCTGCAGTGTACTGTAATTGGCCCGGCATCCAGAATGCTCTCCTGCTTCAGGTTGACCTCCTCCAGGAAGTCCAGAACACCCCCTGGATCAGTGGGGACCCCGTGATCCGGCCAGGTTTTGAAGTGGTACTGCCACACTGTGCGTTCTGTGTTGCCCTGATAACAAAGTGTCACCGAGCGTTTCAAGCAATGCAAAATAAAACTTTGAGTCTAGACAGTGAAGATCTTTTTCTTTTAACTCATCGTGCAGTTTCTCAAACGTTCTCACGCTACCTCGGCTTGGCACGGAACAAACCAACAACTGACCTGACCCACTTTCGACAGCTTCAGTTCTCGGAGGGTGTAGTCGTGAGCGGTCGTCTCCCTGACGTTGCGAACCCGCATGGCGCCATACTCCTTGAGAGCAGACATCTCAGGCCAGTACTTCACACACTTGCTCTGTTGAGACACACACACTCCGTTCAGGATGAAAAACTGAAGGAGGACAGGGCGACAGGCCACCGCCGGTCCAACACCAGGTTGGAGGCCCGGTCTGGACCACTCTGACTCGTAACCTGGTTCAGAACAGATCACACTGTCTCAGCTGCTCACAACGAGCAACCCCAGGGTCAACACCTGATACAGTCATTTTGTTTGCTTGCTTCCAACACTTGGATAGATTTGCACATCACCCCATTATCCACCATCAGCCACAGATGAGACCAGTGAGGTCACCCCACTGATGCACTCTGAAGACCAGTGAGGT